AAATATCTCCAGAGATATCACTGCTAGAATTATGTGTGTCAAACAGCCTCTTCAAGTTCAGTGTAACATTCCTGGGAACAAGGACCATAGAATATTCTCCTTTGTCCCTGAAATTGCCATATAACCCAAATTTTGAGTCTCAGATATGCCACTAAGCCTGGATGCTATCATTTGATTACAAATAGAAAAACAGAATGCATAATCTATAAATGCATTCACATAACTTATGGATTCCATAGCAATATATTCATCAGTGGCAATCAAAATATATAAGGAATCTCAAATCTAGGATGCATGAGACCAATATTACAGCAGAGACTACAGGTTTATCAGCAGCCAGCAATCTGATGTAATTAACTGCCAGAGCTGTTACTTATTAGCTGCGTGAACTTGGATACATTATTTAGCACCTCTAGGTCTCAGCATTCTCATTTTCATTCTCACTTTTAAAGTGAACGATGTATCCATCATACTCTCAAAGGTCCCATAGTCTGAAAACCAAATCAGAGTCAAGCTGTACTACATGCTTCATGTATGTTGCATGGAGCTCTTTCAATCTTACACTGGGCTGAAGCCACAGGACAAGGAATGCCAACTACTCCATGGTCCACAGTGAGGTATAAGAGCCTTGGCTAACTTCCCACCTCTGGCCTGCTTCTGTAGTGGAAGGAAATCTGGACAGAGGATTAGGGGGAGGCTGGTGGTTGCCTGCAGTCTCATCACTTCTCAACTCCAGTCTGGGGTGGGCGGAGTGCTTCAAGAGCACTCGGACAGCTCATCCTATATTCTCCATAGGTGCAGGACGGAGCTCAATCATTCCTGAGCTGGCTCCACAATGCAGACATGAAAGAGCTGTGAATCATTTCCGGACAACACTCAGAGAGCTCTTCTAGTTCTATGAACTCATTCATGTCCGATCCTGGACTCCAGCCTTGTCATGGATTGAATGTTTGTGACTCAGACAGAAATTGGTAGCAGTAAGTAGCGTACTGCTGCAACAAGCACCTAAAAACGTAGAAGCACTTTGTAACCGGGCATTGAATAGACAGCAGAAGAGTTTGAGGTGCATGGTAGAAGAAGCTGAGATTGTTGTGAAGGAATTTTAAAAGGCCAATGAAATGAAGTCTCACATGGAAATGAGGAACTGTAATTGCACAATAGAGAAGAGGCAATTGATGTTTTACATAACAAATAATTTTGCTGAATTCTGTTCATATTCCAGTGTCTTGTGGAAGACAAACTTGTGTGTAGTGCAATTAGCTATGTATCTAAGTAGATAACTAAGCAAAGTGTTGAAGGCACAGCTTGGTTCCTCCTTATTGCTGTAATAAAATGCAAGAAGAAAAAAATAACTGGAAGACAGAATTATTAAGCCTGGAGAACTAGAATTTAAATATGTGGAAAATTCTCAGCCTGCCTATATCGCCAGAAATGAGAAAATGAGCTTGGAAGCAAACACTAAAGGTATGGCCAAAAAACCTTTTCCAAGCAGGAAAATTTCCAGGTTGAACTGAAGTGGAAAAGGACAGGAAGGAAAGTAGGAAAGCTGTCCTGTAGACAACACAGATTGACCACGGAACTACTCAGCAGCGTTTGCTCTGTTCTTCAAGATAAGAAAGAAGAATCCTGAAGGCAACGCAGATATCATCAAGACTGCTTCCTTAGCTTCACGGCTGACTTGGGCTAGACAGCAGGGAGAGGGAATCAATTCAGTTTCAGCAATACAGCTATCCTTCACCCAAAGCCATAGAGACCAGGCTATGAAAGCTGGGGGACTCACTCCCTGCCTGGCAGCACCCAGGGGGCAGGATCATTGCCCCAGGGCACCTGGAGGGCAGAGCATCTAATCTAAGAGAATTATTTTCCTCTTTTTTTCCTTTTTTTATTTAATAAATGTGAATTTACAAAGTGCAACTTTTGCATTGTTGTGGCTTCCCCCCCACCTCCCTCCCTCCCACAGCCCTCCCATCTCCCACTCCCTCTCCCATCCCACTCTTAATCAGGTTTCATTTTCAATTATCTTTATATACAGAAGATCCACTTAGTATATACTAAGCAAAGATTTCAACAGACTGTACCCACACAACCACACAAGATATAGAGTACTGTTCAACTAGTAGTGTTACCGTAAACTCTCATAGTAAAACACATTAAGGACAGAGATCCTACGTGGGGAGCATGTGCACAGTGACTCCTGTTGTTGATTTAACAATTGACACTCTTGCTTATGATGTCAGTGATCACCTGAGGTTCTTGTCATGAGCTGTCAAGGCTATGGAAGCCCCTAAGAGGATTATTTTCAAGATTTAAGGTGTAATGTTGTTTGTCCTGTTAGGTTTTGGACTGGTTTGGGATCTGTCACTCCTTCCTTCTTCCAGCATATCCCTTTTGGAGTGAAATGTCTATTTTATGCCTATCTCATCATTCCATTTTGGAAACACATAACTTATTTGATTTTCACAGTTCACAGCCAGAGAGGAAGTCTGCTTCAAGATTAATTGTATCTTGAAACTTATTTTTTTTTTTTTGACAGGTAGAGTGGATAGTGAGAGAGAGAAAGGTTCTCCTTTTGCAGTTGGTTCACCCTCAAAATGGCCGCCGCAGCTGGCACACTGCAGCTGGCGCACCGTGCTGATTCAAAGGCAGGAGCCAGGTACTTATCCTGGTCTCCCATGGGGTGCAGGGCCCAAGCACCAGGCCATCCTCCACTGCACTCCCTGGCCACAGCAGAGAGCCGGCCTGGAAGAGGGGCAACTGGGACAGAATCCGGCGCCCTGACAGGGACTAGAACCTGGTGTGCCGGCGCCACAAGGTGGAGGATTAGCCTAGTGAGCTGCAGCGCCAGCCGAAACTTACTCTTAATTGATACAGATGATCTTTTGCACTTTAGAGTTGATGCTGAAACAAGTTAAGACTTTAGGGGCCAGCACTGTGGCATAGTGGGTAAAGCCACTGTCTGCGACACCAGCACCCCATATGGGTGATGGTTTGTGTCCCACCTGCTCCATTTCCAATCCAGCTACCTGCTAATAGCTTCAGAAAAGCAGCAGAATGGCCCAAGTGGGAAGCCTAGAAGAAATTCCTGGCTCCTGGCTTGGCCTGGCCCAGCACTGGCCATTGCAGCTATCTGGAGTGTGAACCACTGCCTGGAAGATTCTCATTCTCGTTCATATTCTCTCTCTCTCTCTCCCTCTCCCTCCCTCCCTCCCTCTCTCCATCCATCCCTCCATCCCTCTTTCTCTGTATCTCCCTCTCTCTGTGTAACTCTTTCAGAATGAATGAATACATTTTATATATAAAAAAAGACTTTTAGGATTCATTCTTGGAATAGAATCAATGCATTTTGGATGCAGGAAGGATATGAATTTGGGGCACCAAGCATGCAAGTTTACAGATTGTGTCGCCCCCGAGCTGCGTATGTTGAAATCTAACCCCCAATGTGATGGCATTTGGAGATGAAGCCTTTGGGAATTAATCACTGCTGGGTGGGAGAGCCCTCATACATTTCCCTTCCTCTTTCTGCCCTGTGAGAATATAAAAAATCAGAATTATGTAAATCAGAAGAGGGCCCTCACCAGAATCTGACCATTCTGACACCCCATTCTTGGGTTTCTGGCCTCCAGAACTATAAGAAATAAATACCTATTATTAATAAACCACCCAATACATGTTGCCTTGTTATACCAGCCCAAATAGACCAAGACAAGCATTAACAACATGCAAAGACAAACATCCCTAATGGTGAATGTCCTTTACACTCAAAACAGCTTCTAGATTCTAGGCAATCCCCTACTCATTTAATTAATGAGAGTAGGAACTCCCAAGTGCCAATGAACCACTCTATTACTGAAGTGATGTTTAGATGTACGATTTGTTAAAATTCAGACAATGCTGATTAGGCAGAATACTACAGGTCTCCTTCCACCACTCTGGTAACTCCAGCCCTTCCTCAGGGGAAAACACTAACAGCAGTTTGACCATTTCCATCAGCTTTCTCCCGTGTGTTCACATAGACACACACAGAAGTAGAGTGTTGCTTGCTGGATATTTTTAGGCATAAATTATGCATTGGTCTATATTTTGCTTTTTTATTTATTAACATTACTATGGAATCCTTCCATGTCAACATGGCTCGCTCTATTCATACCTTCTTTTTAGATTGGCTTATAGTATTTTATAGTATGATTGCACCAAAGATTACATTCCCTAATGATGAATATTTAATTATTTTCCAGGTATTCACTTTTGTAAACAATGTGGCAGTGGAAACCCTGGTAAATGTTCCATAATTTACATATGTAAATGTTTCCATAGGGTAAATATTGAGAAGTGGGATTGCTGGGTTAAAAGTGGATGCATACTTTAAATTGAATAGAAATCTTAAAATTGCCCTCCAAAATGCCAGTTTATACTTCCACTAACCACAGTTTCTTTTCTGTATAGTTTGTAATACTTGATAGTGTCAATATTTTAGATTTTTCCTACATGTTGTGCTTTAAAGTAATATCTTGTTGTTGTTCTAATTTGCATTTTGTTGATTATAAGTGACCTTGAGTCTCTTTCATGTATATACCCCCAGTGTTTAGAAGAGCTATGAAACAAATACTAGTAAATACTTTCATAATGTTTTTCAAATACAAATTTACTAGGTGTTATGATCAGAGGCATATTAACACTTTATATGCATAGTCTCATTAATTTTCTTTTTTTTTCTTTTTTTTTTTTTTTTGACAGGCAAAGTTAGACAGTGAGAGAGAGAGAGACAGAGAGAAAGGTCTTCCTTCTGTTGGTTCACCCCCTAAATGGCCGTTATGGCCGGTGCACTGCGCCAATCCAAAGCCAGGAGCCAGGTGCTTCTTCCTGGTTTCCCATATGGGTGCAGGGCCCAAGCACTTGGGCCATTCTCCACTGCCTTCCTGGGCCACAGCAGAGAGCTGGACTGGCGGAGGAGCAACCCGGACAGAACCGGCGCCCCAACCGGGACTAGAACCTGGAGTACCGGCACCGCAGGAGGAGGATTAGCCTAGTGAGCCACAGCGCCGGCCAGTCTCATTAATTTTCTCAACTTTTCTCCAAAGTATTTATTTTTCCTCCCCATTTTATAAAGAAGAGACAGAAGCTCTTGCAACATTAATTAACTAATCATGGTCACAAAGATAGCAAACAGTATGAAATTCCAGCCCAGACTTGACTCCAGAAACTGAGTTAGACTCCACCATATCACCCCCAAATGTTGATTGTGCACTTACTTTGTATAAGGAGCTGCAGGTGTCTCAAAATCATTAACACCGTAACCAACTTCTGGCCTAACTGGGGGAATTTTGCATCAGTAGGGTGAATCAGCAGAGTGAGTTCTACTACTGCAGCATATAACTCACAGCTCAATGAATGTTTTCTCCACCATGGCATATTCGGTACTCATGGCAGCCCTTTAGGTACACAAGGCAGTGTTTATTTGAATACTATCCATCCCTGCCTTACAGACATAGCAGAACTTGACTCTCAAAGAGGTTATAAGGTGCACAAGCACACATAGCTGGAAGTTGTTAAAGATAAAAAGTTTCCAAGGAGGGACCTAAGTAGAAAAGATGGTTGGAATGAGGAAAGTTCTGGAAGAGGCAGGACATAACTGGGGTCTTGGATATGAGCGGGCTTGTGGCTGGAGAATCGAGAGGAAGCACGATGAGTCAATTTGATGCTTTCAAATGTGAACACTAAAGGACAGAAGAAATATCAGTATGTTTCCGGAGCTCAGATTCAGAAAGGTAAATAATACTCTGGTAACGCAGACTAAAAGTTTATCCTTTGTTCTTCTCTGCAGTAAGTGCAATATAATCTCTCTCTCTCTCTCTCTCTCTCTCTCTCCACTCTCCCTCCTCTCTCTCAACTTCTTATGTTTCAGGAGCCTGTTGTAAGGTTGCATTCAGGATTCCCTGTTTTCAAAGGCTGGCCTGGAAGTTAAGTCAAAGTGGAGCAAACTATTTTGAAACACTTCTGTTTCTTTTTCATTTTTAATTGACAAATAAAAATGTATGTACTTATCATATACAACATGATGTTTTGAAGTAGATATACATGGTGAAATGGTAAAATCTAGTTAATTAAACAAGGCATTGCTTCATAAGGTTATCACTTTTGTGATGAGAACAATTCCACTGCTTGCATTTTCAAATATAAAATATTGTAATTAACTATAGTCACAAAGTTGTACAATAGATCTTCTGAATTTATCCCTCCTATCTAACTATAATTATGCAAATTATGCATCCTTTGCCAACATTTTCCCAATCCCACCCCACTAACACTCCTGGATGCTGGTAGCCACCACTCTGTGCTATATATCTTTTTTTTTAAGATTTATTTATTTGAAAAAGTTACAGAGAGAAGGAGATAGAGATAGAGATAGAGATAGAGATAGAGATAGAGATAGAGACAGAGACAGACAGAGAGAGAGAGAGAGAGATCTTCCATCTGCTAGTTCACTCCCCAGTGGCCGTAAGGGCTAGAGCTGTGCCAATCTGAAGTCAGAAGCCAGGAGCTGGATTGGAAGTGGAGCAGCCAGGACTCGAACCAATGACCATATGGGATGCCAGCACTGCAGACTTTAACAGGCTTTAACCCATTGTACCACAGCACTGGCCCTTATAATGTACTTCTGAGATCACTTTTTTAAGATTCTCCAAATGAATGAGATCATATCTGTCTTCTGTGCCTGGTTTATTTCACTTAACACAATCCCTCCAGGCTCAGCCTTGTTGTTGCAGGTGACAAGCTATCGTTCATTTTTAAGGCTGAATAGTATCCTGTTGATAATACGCCATGTTTTCTTATCTATTTGTCTGTTGATGGACACTTGGGCTGGTTCTATATCTTGGCAATTGTGAGTCCTTGTCGTGCTTCACATGGGAATGCAGATATCTCTTCAACAACTGATTACCGTTGGCTATACACCCAGTAGTAGGATTGCTGTGTCATATGGTAGTTCTAGTCTTAATTTTTTGAGAAATATACATAGTGCTTTCCATAATGGGTATACTTCCTTACAGTCTAACCAACAATGTAGAAAGATATTGTTTTCTGTACATCCTTGCCACTACTTGTTATCCTATCTCTGAAAATAGCTATTCTAACTAGAGTGAGGTGATATGTTATGAATTGACTAGAATTTGGATTCCCCAGTCTCATGCAACCATTTAAACACCAAAGGCTTATGTTAACAGTTGGTGGATTAAGAAAGGGTGGAGATTTGATCAAATCATGGCATCTGAGAGATAGGGCTAGCGGGCGGTCTTTAGGTCACTGGCGACTTGACTTTGGAAGCTACAAGCTACTTCTGACAAGAGGGTAGGTTATATAAGCCAGGTGTGCTTCCTGTGCCTCTGTGTTTGCCAGATCACCATGTGATCATTCCTCTGCACATGTTCCCCCACTGACAGCCTCCACCAGATAAATGCCAGCATCCCATCTGAGCACCAGTTTGAGTTCTGACTGCTCCACTTCCGATCCAGCTCCCTGCTAACAAATCTGGAAAGCAGAGGAGGATGGTCCAAGTTCTTGGGCCCCTGCACCCATGTGGGAGACCTGGATGAAGTTCCAGGCTCCTGGCTTCAGTCTGGACCAGCCCCAGCAGCTACAGCCATCTGGGGAGTGACTCAGCGCATGGATGATTCTCTCCCCCCAACTCCCCACCTGTCTCTTCTCTCTGTAATTCTTTCAAATAAATAAATAAATTTTTAACAAGAAAAAAGAAAATATTTATTCAGTACAGGAAAGTGAGGAGGAGAAACTTATTGTTACAGAGTAATCTCAAGTAAGAGAGCCCCATGCTAATGAGCAAGATAATGGGAGAAAGAACCCAAAGGCATCTCAGAGACCTTTGAGGCACACCTTTCCCTTCCTGTCCCCATCAGAAGCCTAAGAAGTGCCAGTTTGTTTGAAAGATGTTGCGGGACTGAATCCTTTCAGCAAAGAGTCCCGGGGTACCCTCCTCACTCAGGATTACCTCTGAGGTCTAGCTTGCAGGATCCAGGCATAGCTCCACTGGTGGCACACTTGGTGTCATCCACACGATGCTTTCTCAGGTGTGCAAAGTGTAAGAGTTATGGGGTCGTGGAAGCTTCCACTGAGGTTTTAAAAGAAAGCCTGGGAAGCTAGACGAAGTGTTGCTGGAGGGCTGAAGCCCTTGCATGGAGCAAAAAGTAGCAAAGTTATGAGAGCAGAGTTGCAAGGGAGATCCTAGGAAAGTCAAGACAATGTGAAGTGACAAGCAAAGCCTCAAGCCGTGTGCCAGGCAAACCTGGGAAACTTGAAGACATCAATGAGTGGCCTCAGGCAGCAGCCGCGTGGGCAAAGACCAAGAGCTGTGGAAGCATGGAGGCTTCCACCTGGATTTCGAAGGAAGTTTCAGACAAATTGTGGGTCCTGACAGACCCGCATCAGCTACTGCAAGACGTCTCCACTCTGGTGATACAAAGAGGAAATGTGGGGTCGGAGCTGACTCCAGAGTCTTCACCAGGGTAATAATGCCCAGAGGAACTGCAGAGTTGAGACTACAACTTATGGGGAGCCCAGCCCCCACAACTGTGTGCCTCGGATCTTGGACGTGGAACTGTAGGACTTAATGCTTGCCTCACTGGTTGTCATTTTGCTGTGGCCCAATTCATCCTTCCTATTTCCTTGTTCCCCCTGTTTAGTATGGAAATGTACACCCTCTAACTGTCTGTCATTGCATCTTGAACCTTGGCTTTGATTGTACAGGGGTTCACAGTTAAAGAGTTTGGCTTGGAGGTCAGAAGAGAAAATGCATTTCAAACATTTTAGTTCATGTAGGATTAAGACTTGGAGACTTGTGGAGATGGAATCATTGTATGCTGTACATGAGAAGAACATAACTCTGGGGGAATTGTGGATGAAATAAACTTCTCCAGACATTTAAATCCCACAGACGTATATTATCAGTTGATGGATTAAGTGTTGAGACTTGATTGGACTATGGTCTCTGAAAGGCGGGCCTAGTGGGCAGTCTTTAGGTCCTCAAGGGTTTGCCTTCAGAGGCTGGTTTTCATGAGAGGGTTGACTGCATAAGCCGAGCATTCTTCCTTTCTCTCTGCTTCATGGCTCACCATGTGATCCGTCCTTCACACGGGCTTTGTCATTGCAGGTCTGCACCAGGCCAGACTAATGCGACGACCTCAGCTTCAGCTATGAACCTCCGACCGCAAACAAAAATAACCCTTTTTCCTCCTCCCAAGAAGATCTTCTTGGGTACCTTGGTTAGGGTAACAAAAAGCTGATTAAATCCATACTGTCTCACTGTGGCTTTGACTCGCCCTTCCCTCATGATTAATGATGTTGAGAATTTTTCCATCTGCTTGTTGGCAATTTGTATATCTTCTTTGAGAAATGTCTATTCTGGTCTTGCTGATTTTGATTGAATTATTTCCTTCTCTACTGAGTTCTTTCACTTCCTTGTATATTTAGGATATTAACTCCCTGTTACATGTATAGTATGCAAATATTTTCCCCAACCCTGTAAGTTTTCTTTTTTAAAAAACAGACTTATTTATTTATTTGAGAGGAAGACTTACAGAGAGAGGGGGAGAGAGGTCTTCCATCCACTGGTTCACTCCTCAAAGGGCCGCAACAGCTAGAGCTGGGCAAATCCAAAACCAGGAGCCAGGAGTTTCTTCTGGGGCCCAAGCACTTGGGCCATCTTCTACTGCTGGATCAGAAGATGAGCAGCCGGGATATGAACCAGTGCCCGTATGGGACGCCAGCACCATAGGCAGAAGTTTAACCTACTGTGCCACAGCACCAGCCCTTGTAGGCTGTCTCTATTCATTTTCCGCACAAAGACTTTTTAGTTTGACATAATCCCATTTGTCTACTTTTTGTTTCTGTTGACTGTGTTTCTGGAGTCACATCTAAAAGCCATTGCCCATTTCAATGTCATGGGGCATTTCCTCTATGTTTTCTTGTAGTAATTTCATAGTTTCAGGTTTTCTAAGTCTTTAATCTCTCATGAGTTGATTTTTTGTATTTGGTGAGAGATGGGGTCTAATTTAATTCTTTTACATATGGATATCCTGTTTCTCAACATCATTTGTTGAAGATAATGTCCTTTCACCATTGGGTGTTCCTGGAACCTTATCAGAAGCCATTGGGTGCAACAGTGTGGATTTTTTTTTTCCTAGCCTGCCCATTCTCTTCCATTGGCCTATGGCTCTTTCTATGCTGGTACCATTCTGCTTGGGTTACTGCAGGTTGGCAGTATAATTTGAAATCAGGTCCTGTGTTCTTTCCAGCTTTGTTCTTTTTGCTCAAGATTGTTTGGCTACTTGGGACTTTTTATGATTCTATGCAAATTTGAGATTTTTTCTGCTTCTATGAAAAATGTCACTGATATTTTGATAAGAAGTTCACTGAATCTGTAGATTGCTTTGGGTAGTATGGATATTTTAACAGTATTAATTGTTCCAGTCCACAAATATAGGCTATCTTTTCATTTGCTTGTGTTCTTTTCAATCAGTTTCATCAACACTTTTTAATTTTCAGTATAGAGATTCCTAAGGATTTTTGTAGCTATTGTAAGTAGGATAGTTTTCTTGGCTTCTTTTTTACTTTCTTGATTTCTTGGTAGTTAGTACATAGAAATGCTGCTGATTTTTATATGTTGATTTTGTATCCTACAAAACAACATTTAATAGGGAATGAATCAGCTGTGGGTTTGTCATACATGGCCTTTATTGTGTTGAGGGACATAGCCTTCTTTGTTTATATTTTGTAATGTTAAAAAATGTCAAATTTTGTCAAATGCTAGATCTGCATATATTAAATTGATAGTGTGGTTTTTATCCTTATCCTTCATGTTGTTACTATGGCATATCATATTTATTGATTTTCATACACTGGATCATCTTTGCATCCTTGGAATAAATCCTACTCAATCACGGTGAATAATCTTTCTAATGTGCTAATGAACTTTGCTAGAATTTTATTGAGAATTTTTTTTCCATCTTGTTCATCAGGGATAATTTGTCTATAGTTTTCTTTTTCTGTTGTTATGTCCTTGACAGGGTAATGCTGACCTCATAGATTGATTTGGAAATATTCTCTCTTTCTCAGCTTTTTAGAAGAGTTTGAGAAGAACTGGCATGAATTATACTTTAATTACTTGGTAGAATTCATCAGGGAAGCCATCAGGTTCTGGAATTTTCTTTGATGGGAGGCTTTTTATTACTGATTGACCAATGACAACATGGGACAAATCTTAATTTTCTCTATATTTCCCACCCTATAGCCTGCTGTAATCCTGACTCCATCTGCAAGACATAGCACTACCAGTGCCAATACAGTCACAGTATTCTACAGCTTGTCCTTTGGCCAGGATGGATGTAATTTTTCTGAAACCTGAAATTTTACAATGTGAGGTGATTCTACTAGTAAAAGAATATAAAATGACAAGATTAAAATTAAGCTAAATAAGTAATTATTTGGAATTTGAAATAAAATTTTTATAAAGTATAAATGTCAAAAATAGACAAATCTTATAAATATCACAACATCTAGAAAACAACATAGTCTTTTTTCTTTTTAATTACCTGTCTGATATACCCTTACAATCTTTTGTCTACATTTTGTGATTGCATATGCTTTGATCTTCTTGTCATATGACAACGATTTGCTATACCTATTTATACAGAAACAAAATGCAACCTTTCTTCTAGAATGTCTCATTGAAACTTATTTTTTTAATAGTGGTACCTGACATGCATAAACCACATGATTTTATGCACAAGCATCTATGCTAACTGCAGTACTCTTGTACCAATGGACACATCCCTGAGGCTGTGGGTGGTCCCAACTTTGGCTTAGATGCACCCTACACATACAAATTATTTGAGAAGTTCCATTTCACATGACTCCCATCAAATAACAAATGTTTAGTGGGCTTATAATTGTATATGTATGTAGCTGACTATATATTCAACAGGAAAGAACTTCCATTTGAGTATTAAATGGGAAACAAACATTTCACTTAGAGTCTTGCTCATCTCATAATCAGAATTTCCCCAAGACTAGCTCCGGCTCTGTCCACTTGCTACCTTGTTTCTGCTGCACCACCTGCTAACATCTGGTGCCATTGCATACGTTATGTGTTCTATGATCTCTGATCCTACACCTTTGTATCCTGATGCCAGGTGAATCAGCACAGCGAACAGAGAATTTCTAGAAACCTTTCCTCTCTGAGGACAATAATCCATAACTCAATGACCCCCCAAAGTGACTAAGATCACATGTATATCCCACTGAACCCAAGCAAATGCATTACCAAGTCAAGTCAACTTTGGCCAATCCCAGAAAGGCCCACAGCCACTCCAAGTCACCTAGCTCAAAAGGAAGGGTGATGGAGGAGAAGTCAGAGTAGAAAGAGACAAGACTGTTAACCCATTGCAGATACAATTGCTTATTTTTGTGAATTTGACAGAAAGATATGATCATGTGCACCCATGGTGAGGACCCTGAAGCATCACCTTCATTAGTCTCATGCTATATCCATCTCCACCCTGGATTCTGACACACTCCTGGCTCCGCAGAAGACTCTAGGAATAAATGTAGCCAAGACTGTACTCTTGTGAAAAGAGAGAGAGTAGAAGAGGAGACCTAACTTTGCATACAGACTTTGACTCTGAACAGCAGGATTTACCTGCATTTGATACTTAGTGTACTTAGCTATAGAATGGAATGATACTAACCTCTCAAGACCACATTGAGGATGAACAAGATCCTGTAGGTTGAAATATACAAAATCAGCATCACTGCAGTTGCACCCTGAAGGAAGGAGTTGAACTTCTCTGGTGCCTGCATCCTGGAAGCACTCCATGATCCAACCTCTCCATGGAAATAAGTCAGGGAAGAATATAAACACATGGTTACATACGACTTCCCATGGGTTAATCTGCGATTCTGTGTGGGTCAAAGAAGGTGAAGGGCTCCTGGAAATTCAAATGCTGATTACTTCGAATCCAATCCCAGGAGGTGGGAGGTGGGGGAGGAGAGGGCTGAGAAGGGTGCTCGCAGCTCAATACTGTGTGCACAGCCAGGACTTGTTAGGTAAACATTTCAGGAGAAGATGACATAAAGAGAAATGTCTCCAGAAAGGCATTACTTTAAAGCAAAGTCCATAAAGCTGAGCTCTCCATACCCAATGTCCTGGCCCTATTGGAAACCAGGTCCTTCCTGCAGCCTCTGAGCACTGCCAGGAGAATTGAGAAAGGACAGCCCTGGTGTCTGATCATCACCTGACTGCTGACATTTGCCACTCCCTCCTCCAAGCTCTGCTAAAGGTGAGGAGGTGAGGAAGTGTCTGCACTTAATGAGGAACAAATTAAGTGACAGCTTAAATCTTGTAACGGGTCAGGCAGATGGTGATGTGAGTGATGCATTTTCAAGCTGACGATCCATCTTCTCTGTCTCCCCAGAGAAAGGCAAGTCCGCAGAGAGGAGACAGCAGCAAGGATGAAATCAGGAAGGGATCAGCCCCTGGCAGCACACCTTGTCATGCTGTCCCTGCAGGCTGACCCTGCTTACAGCCTTCGGAGGGTCCCCTGGAACTCGGAGCTACAAGGAGCAGGATCCTCATACCCAAAAGAGGCCTCAACAGTTTCAAGAGCTTCTCTCCACTGCACAATCCGACTCGCTGCCAGCCCGTGTTGTGTTCCTATTGTGCCCCAGGCTTTATCTCTTTTCAATATTACTACATGTGGGAAAATGGAGACTGCTAAAAGATGCAGTGACTTGCCCAGGGTCATGCAGACCTTGAATTCACAAGTAGAAGGTAGATCTCTGATTACCGCAAAGTTTGGGGTTTGTTTGTTCTGATAAAAAAAAATATCTTGACTGAGTTTTGTACTTGTGCATGCGTGGATTTGCCTAGGCATGAACACCCCAGACCCTGAGAGAATTCCCTGGAAAACTAGTCAAATGCAGCAAAAAGAAAAGAAAAGGAAAGGAAAAAGAGATAGTCCCTGGTGAACTTGTACTGTGCAGACTCAGCCAACAGAGCCCTGGGGCAGTCAGCCAGCACCAAGCTCCTGACAACCACCCATGAGCTGACGCGCTCAGGGCTCGCCAAGTCCCATGCATCTGGGTCAAACAATGAGGCTTTTGGCTTTAGAAGTCCCACTCTTGTCTTTAGTACTAACAGTCCTAACAAGGGCTGCCCCATTGGACTTTACTATGAAATTCCAGTGCTTGCAGCCGTCTCTGGATCATTTCACACCTGGAGATCACCATCCTGCATTGCCTCTTTGCTCTGATGGGTATGGTTGTCCCTGCCTTGCTGGGCAGTAAGCATAGTGTAGTACTCCCACGTCTCAGAGTCTCTGTTTCTCTTTCCTCAGCTTCTGGTCATTGATCTACTGCCTAATTCAGCTTGCTTTCCAGACTTAATCCCTCCAATATAACCTACACACCACTGGCAGATTATATTACCAAAGCTTAACTTTGATCATCACACACGCTACCTACAACCCATCAGTAGGAGCTCTCCTCTGCATATGCTCAAATGGCTTATTCCGGTATTCATGTCACTCTTTGTTTGAGCCAATTGAGCTACCCTGTGTTCCCTGAGCAGAGAACGTATCACACTATTGGGACTGCTGGGATGTACATGTGCTCTCACCTTGATGGGGCTCCAGGAGCCCTTGGTGAGAATAGAAAGGATTTCTAGATGAACAGAAAAGCTGAGTTTTCAAGGGCAGAGGTTTGAGGATCTCCTTGGGAATTGCAAAAGTGAGCAGGTATCCATGAGGACATCTGGAGTCCATCTCCATTAGCAAATCAGAAGCCACAGACTGAGGCAAGGAATGTTCACATTCTGAGAGGCAGGAGTGCATTTCTCTCCCGCACCTGTTCCTGGAGTTTATGTCTTTTTCCATGAAAACTCTTCTGAGAAAAGCAGCTATCAGGCAGGAGGGCCAGGAAGTCGATGTGGCAATATCCCACTTTGTAGCAGGTGGAAGGGTCCCCCAGGGAGAGAGTGGCTATTGAAAGGGGAATAAAACAGGCTGAATGCCTGGAGCAGGCAGGAGGGAAAAGCCGTCTGGGGACACAGAAATGTTCTTAGGGGCTCAGGTGTCAGGAGGGGTGTCCAGTACTAGTAAAAAGCTCAGGTCAGTAGTAAGTACTGGAGGATGGTCCATTTTGCACACCAAATGAAGGGAACATGTGAAGCCTGAACAAATGAGGAAATCTGGTGCCCGACAGCCAACCAGTGGAGTTTCCATATAAATAAATAAATAAGCACATCTGGGCTGCTGCACCATCTGTGAAGTGAGAAGTGTTGACTCTCTTGCTTCCAAAAGCTCTGCCAGCACGGATGTTCTTTTTGCCTTGCATTTTTTTCATCTCGGATGCTACATGGAAATAAGGCCTGGGACGATGAGACCGTTTTCAGGCTTGAGAGCACACGTCCCAGAGTAGGCTTCAGATCAGACTTGACTTTAGCAAGTGAAAGTAAAGTGAAAAATGAAGGTAATTTGTGTTTGTGCTTCACATGCTTCTCTATTTGCTTTAAACACAGACAATATTTAATAGCGCATGCCTCTTCTAAATCCTCCTGATATTTCTGGATCTGAAAATTGCTGGCGGCCTCGCATAAAAACTTAGGCCAAATTGGTTTCTTTTGTAAGAAAGGGAACAACAGGGAGGGAGGCAAACCTGGGAGGCCTGTGGCCTTTCCCTCTGTTCTTGTCTGTCTGTGACTGTGTAATTACCATCCTCCAAGCTAGGAAATGCAAAGGGGTTTGAACCAAAGAAGTGACAACGTCATGTTCTGGCTGGAGCTGAATATTGGAGCTCTAATGACCATAATTTAGTTTGTTTCTGCTTATTACTACACAGGCTGTTAATTGGGATAGAAGAAAGAAAATTGCTGGGAGAAGGAAGTAGAGAAACAAAATTACTCCAGGAAATTGGGAAATAAGTGACACGAACAACCATCAGACTAAAATAACTACCAGGAAAGAAGGAAGATGAACAGGAACACACGTGTTTTATGCGGGGATTCAAAACTCATTGGCAATGGACTTGTGTGCATGTTTTCAAGCAGTGACCCAGCCTGAAACCCACACATCTCTGTGCTTATTCTGCAGGAGAGATGAGTTCAGCATTTCTGCAAAGTGAGTTTATTCCCTCCCTTATGAGAAACAATTCTAACCAGGTACAATGGAAGACAGACCCCTGGGAGAACCCAGGCCTGCCGCCCAACAGCAGTTGAGTCACAAGGGGAAGAGATGATGGGATCTTCACACTTCATCTAGTAATTACAGTGATAATGCTGTAACCCACAACTTACATCAGAAAGCAACACACTTCGCCAGTAGAAGGCCAGATACTGAACAGTTCAGACCTTGAGAGCCATCGATTTCTGATGCAATAACCCAACTCCAGGACTGAAAGAGGAAGGCAGTCACAGACCCCACACAAAGGGGTAGTTGAGATCCAATACAGCTTGACCTACATGGCCACATTTGGTCCATGGGCCATGGTTTGCCAACCCCTACTTTAAATAATAAAAGCAAACCCTGTTTGCCAGTCCCTCACCACTTGCACATCACCCTTCCTTACTTGGTCACTAGGTTGTCTCTGTAATCAGTGTAGGGATCTATAGACAGTTAGGACAACCAGAAGTTTGGGTTCACAGGAAACAAGAATGCTGCAAGGTCACACAGTCTGTGGGCAGCAAATCCCGGGGCATGACTCCCTGTGTGCCTTGAATCACTGCACATCTGAGCCAGTTCCTCACCCTGCTGCCTCTGCCTGCCAAGAGTCGCTAGCTGGACAGTTGCATCACCTCATCACTGTCTCTGTCCTAGCCCTGCGTCATCTTTCATGGGAAGTATCTCCCCACTCCGGCTCTGTGTCTGCTCTGCTGCCCCAGTGAGCTCTTGGAAAGTCAGATTTCAGCAACACATACTTCTGCCGAAAGCCCTTCCACATTTCCCCAGGGCCTGCGAGCAAGGGTCCAATCTTCTTCACGCAGAACACGGACTCTGTCAGACTCTTCATCTTCACCCCCTTGCTGTGATCCCCTAAACCTCAGCAATTTCTAACAGCATGAAATGCCTCCAAATCATCACACTGTGGCAGAACTGGGTACCTCTAAACAGAAAGCCCACCCCTCACCTCCACCCCTTACTCACACCAGGGTTTCTGTCCTGGGGAGCCCAAGCATTACAGAGGACTTTAAAATTCCTAGGAGTTAGAAAACCTGGGTTCTAAGTCTAACTTTGTCGGGGACTGGTGGCCCTCTACTGGGCAGCTGCCCTTGCACGCTGAGTGCAATCTCTTGTAGAGAGCGTGCCTTGTGACACAACCCCACACTCAGCAGCCAGGGCCCCCCTATGGCTACAAACAGCCCCATAGGGTAATGTCTCCCTCTGCCTCTTATCTGCAAGCCTGTGCCAAGGTTAACAACCTGTGAATGTCGATCGCCTGGGTGGATGAGTGGATGAATCAGTGAACAGGTCACAGGTGAGGAAACTGAGAAATGCTTACCTGGGCTTCTTGTGAAAAACAGGCCGAACAGAAAAGAGTCACATCTTTCCATTGCTACAACATAGAAGTTAGACAATTCCCCAGGTGCGCTTCCCATTATTTAGATTACAAATGACAAAGTTAACATTCCCTAAGATGACCTGTGCTGACGGTGCATGATTCGCAGGTAAGGGGTAAGGGAAGGTCCTTGCATGGTTGAGCTCTCTCACGCTGATGCAGAATCTGTGACAGCTGACTTGACAATAAACTCCCAGCTCAGAAGCACCACAGTCCAATTATTTCAGCTATAGTCAAGCCTGTTGGCATTGCACATACAGAAGAATGAACAGCAAAC